AACGAATGTGTTCATACCCATGATGTATTTTTTTGTACAAGTAAGAACAGACTTTGAAGTTACAATCTATGAGTATGCAAAAAAAAATTATCAGTGAAAAAAACACACACAACGCACACACATTGTGCAAAGTATCGTGCTTGTGCTGCAAGTCTGGCACCAGTGAGCCTTTCCCCCCAAAAAGCCGCGCCCACACCTCCGCGAAGTTGTCGTCCGCCACCTCGGCCGCCTGCGCCGCTAGCCTGATGGCATGGCTGGGATCGCGATGCACCTGGCTGCGGGGGGCCAGATGATAAGAAGGAACGCATCTTATCGGACTGCAGATAGTGAGTACGAGAAAAAACTATGTTTGTTCAAAGTATTTCTCCTGTCCTGTTCATATAATCATAATTTTTTTGTATACATATATACATACAACAATGATAATCATCCTCAACAAATCATGTTATATATATATATATATATATATATATATATATATACCTTTATATTATGTTGTTGGGAAGCTCTCGGTTTAACCTATAAATGAAAGCAGACCGGGTACTACAACCACGTTGGGCATCACCTCCTTGAGCAGCACGCCTGCCTTCAACAAAGCGCCATCGCCAGCGAAGATTTTGGTGCTCATCAGGATGTGGCTGTAGAGGCTCTCATCAAACTGGCCCATGATGTCCGTGCAAAAAAGTCTGACTGCCGCCAGAATGGAATCTCGCACCCGCACAGCATAATCCTCGTCAAAGTATTGCAGCGCTGCGCCTGCGGACGCAGGCGTTTCCCTCGCCTGCGCGGGCTTGAGGAGCGCCAACATACCGGCTGAGGATTCGTGCTTGCCGCCTGCGACACCGCTGGACTTGTACATGAGGCAGCGGTGGGGCTGCTTGTCGTCCAGAGTCAAAGCCACCGTGTGCGCCCGCGCCAGCGCCTGCCGCTTGCCCACCCGCATCGCCTCCGCCAATATGTCCGCCATAGCACCAACAGCCGCCTTGTTCACTTCCTTCAGGTCCTCAACCCTTGAGGAGGAGATAAAATCCTCTGTCAAAGAGATCTGCGACGTTCTCGTCAAGGAAACCTGGCTTCGACACAGCCTCCAGATCCGCAGCCAGTCTGGTGGCTGCGGGACGGCTCCCTTCAGGAGCACATCGTCCTCCAGTGTTGCCTGGCCTGAGCAGGAGGTCCGCGTTCTCGGGTACAGGAAGCACTCATTACAGTGTTAGACTAAGAAGTCTAGAGTGGGCCTTCAACAAAAAATGGAAAATTCCCACCGTGGCTCTCAGGACGAGTTCCGCGTCGTCTGGGCGAAGCCAAACCTGCAGAGCCATCTTGTGCACCGCGGATCGGGAGTGCAGCTGCAGCGCCGACGCCTGCATGCTTGCAAAACCTTGCACCTCGAACCGTGCCCACTTGGTTGAGCAGCGCCTGCCTGGAGAACCCGCGGCACCTACGCCTTCTTGCATTTTCTTGCACAAGTTGTGGCAAACCAGGCACCCCAGCGCCCACGCCGGCCGCCCGCCCCAGCGGTTTGGCCTTTCTCGGAGCCAAACAAGACGCTTGCCTTGGCCTATCGTCGTCGACGACACCCCAGTGCGTTCCCAGCCTTTGCGAAGCTTCAGGAACTGGCAAACGGCACAGCCTGTCTGGAAGCTGGGGTGCACTCTTCTGTGAGGGTGTTCGCCGACGCCTGCGGCAGCGCCTGCGCTAGCCGACGACCCCGACGCCTTTGACGCCTTGGAAGCTTTCTTATTCTTCTGCGCTGAGCCCGACGCCTTTCGCGCTTTCTTTGGAGCCTGTCTCGCCCCTGACGGCTTCTTCTTTTTGACTGGGCGGGACTTGCTTGACGCTTCAGGTGCCTTCCTTTTCACCTGCACCGTCGCCCTCGCAAAAGAGGAAGGACCGAAAAGGTCTTTCAAGGGCACAGCAGGTCGGAAAACTACCATGACACGCAGCTGCAGCAAAAAAACTTCCACACGCAAGACAATAAGCAAAACTCCAGGCAACGTCACATGCCTTGCCACAAGAAGCCCACGGGCAGGAGTCTCCAGTAGTATGACATCATGTCAATTTATAACAGGAAACTAATACAACATACTGAACATAGAATATATGATCATTACATATTGACGATATGTTAATTATATTCCTTGGTATGAAAACATCCCATTGATATTTGCTGGCAGTTCCCGGTTGCATCACGCTCGCAACTTCCCGCCTTTGTCCTGGACGCCACGGCAACACTCGGCGTACAGCAGCACCGTGAGACACGCCTACAAGCTGGACCGCCCTCACTGATTCTTCACATCTGCCGTCTTCGTTTTGTGCACCAGCAGCCGGCATTTCTTGACACTCCAAGACAAAATTGGAATGGTCCCCGCCACCGTTCGCTTCTTCGCCTGCGCCTGCCCCGTCTTCGGTTGGCCCAGCCTCGCCTTTTTCCAATTCAGCATGCTGACCGCGAGAACGATGGCCACACCAATAGACTGCACGTCCTGGCAGTTGCCAGCCATTCTCGGTAGCGTGCGCCTCGTCGCGGCGGGGAACTTCAGCTTGTCCACAGGCACTGTGTGCAACAGGAGCTTCTCCGTGTTGGTCAAGAGTCTGCAAGCTGCCCCGGCGCCTGCGCGAATGACGATCTTCGACGACGTGGTGACTGTGGGACCTAGGCACAAAGAAGCAACATAAATGCACCTGTGTTTAGGTGGAACGCCTTATATTTTGCAATTAAGTCTAGGCAGGTTACCAGTATTTTACTACTAGACGATGTTAGACTGTAGTTATACTAACACCGTGGCCGAGCATCAAAGGTTGTCACCACACGGCATGCGATCCGCGCTCTGCGAAACGTCCACCGCCAACACCTTGGCCTGGCCCAACTTGGCTTCGGCCAACTGCAAGACTTCCGCCTCTCTTGCTGTCAGAAAGGAAAGCTTGCGCAGGGGCGGCAACTTCCCGGCTTTCCTTTGGGCTTCGCGGTGCTTGAGGATCCACTTCGCCGTCGCCGTCGTCTTCCTGCTCGCTTGCGCTCTCGCCACCACCGGTTTCTTCATCTGCTTTGCCGCCCCCTTCGCTGACGCCGACGGAAGCAAAAACATGGAAAGCGGTTGCTGCATCTTCTGCTCAGCAACAGACCCCAGCATTGCCGCCACCAGCGCCTTCGTCGTCCGCCAGCACCCAACCATCAGGCTATCCTCCCGGAGGCAGAGGATGAAGACGCGTGGCCGTCGAAGCCCTCTGCCCAGCTGCGTCGGGCAGAGCTTCACCGCCAGCAGCCGATAGCCCGGCAGCATCGCCTGCACCTTCGCCGACACCGACGCCCAGAAACACATGATCCCCTGCACGTTTTCCAGGATCGCGTACAGGGGCTGTGTCTGCGCCACCGCCTGCAGGCACGCCACGAACACCCGAGCACGGGGATCGCTCCATCCCCGTCGCCTGCGCCCGCCTTTGCGCCGCATCCGGGACCATGGCTGGCAGGGAAACCCTGCGAAGTAGCCGTGGATGCGCATGTGCGCCAGCGCCGACGCCTTCCTGGCCAGGACATCCCCGAAAAAGCTCCCGGCAGGAGCATTCGCCCGGCAGAATGAGCCTGCGCCTTCGCAGATGTCGCTGGCAAACACAACGCCATGCTGAAAACCCAGCTCTCTCATCGCCAGCACCTCCGCAGACATGCCGCAGCAATCACTTCCGAGCGCCTGCGCCGGCGGCTGCGACAGCTGCAGCCCATTGCTTTCCAGGACATCCCGAGCTGCTGCCTGCATTCGCTTTCGGGTGGTACTTCCCCACCCCCGGAGGAACTGCTTAAGCGGAGTTGGCAAAGCCATCCCCACGCCGTCTCCCGCGATTCAACGTCTGCAGCCACCGTTCAGAAAACTTTCTGGACAACGTTCTTTATGTTAATACAACAATGGACATAAACATACTGAGATAATACTAATTCATATTAGAACGTGAACATACAATGTGATGTACATCTCAATATACAAAAACTATTCATTGTTATGATATACATCATACCGGCTCTCATCAGTCTCAAGCACACTCGTGCTACAATCATGTATACGGATCCTGACATGAAAATGGTCATGCATAGCCAAGACAACTGTCAGCAATGCAAGTGCGGGCCAGGCAAGCTTTGTTTTGCTCCCACCAGCGCCTGCTCTGTTGCTCCCAGCCTTGCCTGGCTGAAGTGGCTGAAAAGACGATCTAAGCCGCGCCCGCGCCGGCATCACGAACCGCCTGTGCACTCGGCATCCATATAAGCGCCGCGCCCGCGCCGGCGTCACGAACCGCCTGTTCACTCGGCATCCATAAGCGGCACTTCGTCCTCCTCGCCATCCTCCTCGTTTTCGCCCTCCTCGTCGCCGTCGTCGCCGCCGCCATCCCCGCCATCGCCTGCGACCACATCCTTGAAGTGGAGCTGGATGAGGTCCGCCAGCGACTGCGTCCAGAGGGCATGCCCCTCTGTCGCCGCCAGCGCCAGCGCCTGCCTGTCCACCAGGTTCTCCAGCCACTTCCGGTGCTTCTCGTTGCCGCAGAAGCCCGTGTACCGGATGCCCATGGACAGGCACGCCGACGCCAGCGCCCCAGAACCAGGTGACAGGTCGACGACATCCTTCACCATATGGTTCTTCACCAACGCCTGCCACACCGCCACACCCTTGGACTCCTGCCAGAACAGTGGCACGCCCGCGCTTGCGCCCTCGCCATCCGCCCACGCATCCGGTGCTCGGTCCGCCGGCGCCGCATCCGCGTTCATGCCAAGGATCTCGGCCTTGTCCGCCCACGCCAGCTTGGGAAGCTTCGCCGACGCCAGGAACGGCACGTTCACGTAGTTCGTGTCCGCCGTCGTGACTTTCGCGCCAGCGCCGCTGCTCTTGGAGACAAAGTCATCCTGCTTTCCAACTATACATACCAAGAAAACTCAATACTATATTCAATCAGGGAAACCTTGATATCCTAAACATATGATATGAAAAACTGAAACATCCGTATGCTGCCTGCCGCTCCACGGCGGCCAGGCGTACGCGCGGCGCCGGCAGCTTGACGAAGATGATCTCCTTGTTCACCTGCCCGCCCACCACCTGCCGCGTTGACGCCCGCACACATGGGCCTGCGAAGCTCACCCAAAGCTCGAAGAACTGCGTGTAGTCCAGGTCCTTCACCAGCGCCTCTTCGATCGTCGCACGTGCCGCGCGACAGCGCCCATCGCCGACGAAGACGAAGTCGCACGACCCTGCCAGCCCCTTCAAGAAGGCGCACTTCTGCGAAAACCGCTGTTTGACAGAGCCGCTCATCTCTGACACCTGCGCCCAGCCCTGCTTCTCCTCATGCTCCAGGTCGGCCATGAGAAAGTAGCCGCGGTGCTTCTCGTTCAACTTCCCGTGGAAGTTGCCAGCTCCGCCTGCACCTGCACGGGCCAAGGCCGACTGCAACGCCTCCTTGGTGCACGCCTGTGGCAGCACCAACAACTGGCACAGGCCTTTTCTGAGCCCCCGCGCCTTTGCCAACACCTCCGCCCGCTCTCGGCGAGTAGTCTCCCTGACCTCCTCCAGGTCGTCGCCGGCGGCGCACTTTTGCATCAGCAGTGACAAGGGTGCCGACGCCAGCGAGTCCTCCTGGATCGAATCAACCGCCACCACGCCGGTGCTCAAGCCGGAAACCCCTCTGTCCAGGGTGTCCAGGGCCTCCCGCCAGTCCTTCAGCACGGGGTTGTCGCCTTCGCCTGCAAGGAGTTGCGCGACCAAGTCCTCTTTGTCATTGAAGGTTTTGAGGTCCGCGTCGTAGCCGCCGCCCAACAAGTTGCTGACGTACGCGATGAAGTCGGCCGCGTAGCCTGGCGGGACCGCGTCCTTGGAGGAAAACACAGCAGACCAGAGGCCGTCCTCTGAGACTTTCACAGACTCCGCCTCCGCTGCTTTCGCCAGCGCCTGCCTCGCCTTCCCCAAATCATTGATCTGCTGCAAGGCATTGCTCGCCCACGCCTCCTCCGAGGTGCTCAGCACGCCGCACACCTTCCCCAACACCGCCAGCTTGCAAAGCGACATCGCCACCCAGCCCACGCCAGCGCCGGCGCCTCTGCCGCCCTCGAAGAAGTCGGAGGTCGCGTCCTGCGCCTGCAGTTTCTCGCCGTCCACCTCAACAAGCAGGAGGTGCAGCAGCTGTTCCTGGGATGTGTATAAGCAGTGTATGCCGAATAAGGAGGAACTCAACATCTTGGCTTATTATAAAGACATAGACACATGGCATGTACAAAACTTTGTACCAGTAGTGCCACCACCGGATCGATGGCTTCTGAGTTGTCCGCGCCAGCGCCTGCGCGTCGCATCACGTTGTGCAACTTGGTGTGGCCTTCCGTCAAGAACGCGCGCCCGGCCTTGCTTTCCAGCTCCTGCAACAACGCCTGCGCCTTGTCTGACAGCTGCGCAATCGCCAGAAGAGCGTAGTGCAACATTCGATACACCGGCTTCCCCATGAAGTTGAGGCCGATCGCCTTCCAGTGCTCCAGCTGCTTTCCGATTCCTTTCACCTTTGAGGATAAAAGCAACTCACACAGCATACATACCAATACTACATATAATCATATCAAAAATTAATTGAATAGGTAAATCATGCGTTGGTATATTAATATTGTTTTCCAATATGACAAATCACCCCACAATTCTCCACGATGATCTGGAACTTTTTTGCAAACGTGATGACGTTGTCATCCGCCACCGCCAGCACCTGCTTTTTCTTGTCTGTCGCCTGCCAGAGCATCAGCGCCAGCGCCTGCTTGCTCGTCCCCACATACAGCCGGATCGTGACTGTCAGTGCACACTCGTACAGAAGTCGGACGCGTCCTGGTTCTCCGCCCTGAGGGCTTCGAACATCGCCAACCACCACGCCACCACCAGCGCGTGATTTTCCACCAGCGTCAGTGCCTTCGGCATGCAGTCGCCTTCGCCCGCGCCCGGCGGGTAGAGGACAGAAATGTCCTCCACCCAGGCACTCAAGGTTGCCGGAAACACCACCCGCGCCAGCTCCTGCGCCTCCTCAAAAAGAGGCTTCAACTCCTCCACCTGCGCCCATGTGCAATCTTGCACAGGCAGCACCTCCTGCGCCCGCGCCCCCGCCGGCACCCAAAACAGGCTCCCAGCGGCCTCGTACAAGCCGGAGGCCCGGGCCGCTGTGGCGCAGTTGCGCGGGCACCACTTCTCCTTGAAGGATGCAACGCCCCCGCCAGCGACATCCCTGTCCTTGATCGACAGCGGCTCAAGCTCAGCCAGCGCCGGCGCCTCATCGTAGAAGCCCATCTTCACCAGCGCTTCGGCCAGCTTGTACTCGACCTCACCAAATCAAAGCTACAAAAGAAATAAATACCCCGTGAGCTAAACAAGTCCAAACAAGCAACACACAACCTGTTTAACTTAAGAAAACATGAAAGCACTTGTATGTTTCATTATGTAAAGAATATATAATACACATACACATATATGAACATACATACATATACATACATACATACATGTACACATGTGTACTTTAATACATAATCACAAAAAATCATATACTAGTATAGTAATATATTTATAGAAACACATCTGTATTCAGTTCAGGCACCCATGGCACCAGGTCCTGCACCACACGGGTCGCCTGCGCCTGGTGGCGATCGTTCCCAACCGGAAGGGTCGGCAGTGGTGGGATCGCTGGCACCTGCGGCCCCTTAGTCCTCTTTGCAGCCGGCACGACACCTGGCGCAAGCGCCGGCGCCGGTGTCTTCTTGGGCTCGACGACTTTGGGCCCCTTTGGTGTTGGTGCCTGCCCCTGCGGCTTCGCCTGCCCCGCCTTTGCCACCAACGCGTTGTTCGAGGAAAGCGCCATCACGATTAGAAGGATCGAAACAGTCAATGTACGAAAGCTCGAGAATGTGAACTCTGCACTGCATGCACAACGTGGGAGCAGCAGCTCTTTGGCAAAAATCAAGCAAACATCAAACAAGAACCCTTCGGAAACCCTGTCACAAGCAGCACTGCGCAGGATCGCAACCCTTGCACTGCAAAGGCGCCTCGCCTGCCCTGCTCGGCAGCGATATAATAAGGAACAGGAGCGACGCCTGTCCCACAACACATGTTCAAGCTCCACCTGAAACCCTCGTAGTCCTGCTGGCAGCAGTCGTAATCGATAAAGTAGCAGTGGCAGTAGGAATAGTAGTCTAGCAGTACTCGCCGTCCTAGTAGTAGTCGTAGTATACATATATATATATATAGTTCATACCAGCCATACCAGACATAGCAGCAAAATCAAACACTTCCCTTTTGTTGTGTAATTCAGTACTTCTGGTATGATTCACAATATAACCAGAGGCTTTTACACATTGCATACCATGAGATATTTTGTACATAACAAACGAAAACTTGAATTTTAATTTCCCCAATTCAAAACCACACTACTCAACAGTTTTACAGCATGACTAATTGTAGTGGATTAATTCCTGTTGGAACAAACTGTTTACGTAGCCTTGTCTATATCAATTTAGAATCGTATATTAACCAAAACACGAACCATACCCAAAACCACGTTGACACCAAACATTAACATGTGTTGTGTAGTTCCATTCTTCTGGTATGATTCATAATAAAAGGCTCCTGATGCCGACACATTGCATACCACGATAAATCTCATACATACACAGGACAAACTTGTGATTACACGACTGGCAGTGCTATGTAGTTCCATACTTTTGGTATGATTCATCATTAAATTAAGGTTTTAAAGTCTACACGTTTCATACCATGATAAATTTGCAAAATTCTATTTTTAAACCCCACACCACTGACATTCCGGTTCGTTAAAATGTATGCATAAATTTTATCGCGGTATGAAACGTGTAGACTTTAAAACCTTAATGATGAATCATACCAGAAGTATGGAACTACATAGCACTGCCAGTCGGATAATCTCAAGTTTGTCGTGTGTATGATTGAAATTTATCATGGTATGCAATGTGTCGGCATCAGGAGCCTTTTATTATGAATCATACCAGAAGAATGCAACTACACAACACATGTTAATGTTTGGTGTCAACGTGGTTTTGGGTATGGTTCGTGTTTTGGTTAATATACGATTATAAACTGATATAGAAAAGGCTACGTAAACAGTTTGTTCCAACACGATTTATCCACTACAATTAGTCATGCTGTAAAACTGTTGAGTAGTGTGGTTTTGAATTGGGGAAATTAAAATTCAATTTTTCGTTTGTTATGCACAAAATGTCTCATGGTATGCAATGCATAAAAGCTTCTGGTTATATTGTGAATCATACCAGAAGTACTGAATTACACAACAAAAGGGAAGTGTTTGATTTTGCTGCTATGTCTGGTATGGCTGGTATGAACTATTGATATATATATATGTATATGTGTATATTCTTCTGTATTGTTTGGACGGCAACAACTACTAGACTACTATTCCTAGTGGATGGTGACTAATGGTGATATTGTCTTTTAAACCGTTCTACATCTTTTCTGCTATGGCATATCCCTGAACATACGAATCCTACTATATCTCCCAGCATTACCAACCATAATACTTTAATATATAAATAAGTTGTTTTGGTATGATTCCCAATGTACCTTTATAGATTGTATACTGTGGTAAATTATATACATACCAGAACAACAACTTCACAGATTCATAGCGTTTGTGATACCGTTTGTCACTGGTGGAGAACAGGGATTGGGTCTCTATACTTGACCCAAATGAACATCAACAGTGCAGTGAATCAAACGGTATGAGGCTCCCACATAAGCAGTATGTATCATACACAAAGTTACAGTGCTTTATTAGGCCGAATGATGATCATATCAAGAAACATTTATTGCATACCAAAAAAAATAATGATACACTTATTGATTGAGTATGTAAACACATTTCTACTGTATACAAACATTCATAGTGACAAAGGACATTTCCACGAGAACCCTGCTGGTGTAAGCAAAGCAGCACCACAGCCCCTTAGGAGAGTATTTCAAAATACTCAAAGGTAATTTTGAGGCTTCAACCACTCAGAATTACCTCAGAGTATTTTGAAATACTCTGAGGTAATTTTGGGCTTCTAAAATTGCGAATTACCTTTTTGGATAATTGTAATAATAAACCGTCTGAAAAGGTAATTTTGCAGTTTCAAAGCTCAAAATTACCTCAGAGTATTTCAAAATACTCTGAGGTAATTTGGCCTGGCTAAAACTGACAGCACATCTGCTCGAGCAAAATAGATCCCTAACTGGCTGATAACCTTGAGCTAGTACTGAGCAAAATAGAACCCCAAATGCTGTTACATACTGGTTTTATTTGAAGCCCATACCCATACTCTTAGTTTGTCGCTCATGTTTTTTCTTGCTAGCTACCTGAAGGACAACATGATAGAAACCTTACTGAAAACAACTTTTGCCACACAGTGACCCCAAGCTCAAGAAAACTTACTGAGAACAATATTTTTCATAAAGGATTTAAACATGCATGTTTTCTGATTAAAAAAAATAAACAATGAAAGCAGCACGAAACTGTAAAGAATAGTGCAAATGTAAACACCGCCACTGCTTCATACCGACAACTGAATACATCCCACTCCTACACAAAACAAA